AAAAATTACAGAAAAAAAACCTAATGGGCAACATGGTTTTTTAAAAAATGCGTTGAAAGGCTTAAGGCCCTTAAGGCAATCAGAACAGCTCCTGAAACAAACAGATTGAATGAGTACACTGTTAAACAGTTCCCTTAGCCCTCTACTTCCCTCCCTCTACTTCCCTCCCACTTCAAGCACTTAGTGAAAAATATTATAAGTCCCTGTCCTTGCTAAGTTTCCCCTAATTGTACTATCATTCCTTCATATGGGTTACTGGGAAGCCCCTCTCCAAATAGGGTACTTTCGTAGATCCCTGAACCGGAAGCACACAGACGCCATATTGGCGGAAGTAGATCCAAACTTGACATGGGAAAGAGACGTTCGTCAAAGGTATCGGCCACACTTGAACATAAACAGTCGTTTGATACTTGTTTGCAGTGAATATGTGTTTCGCGAGCAATATTTGTACAGCTCGGCTATAGTTTTGGATCCGAAGAGAGGTTAGTTTCCGGCCGATTTGGCGTCTGCTGGTCTGCTTGCTTCCGGTTCAGGGTTCTACGAAAGTACCCTATTAAAACTTATTAGAGTTACCGCAACTTGGGCGAAACAAAAATTAAAAATTAATTGTTAAAACCACAGACATGAAAACATAAAATTGAGGTTAAGATTAGTACAAGGTAGGTGTACGCCAGACCGTGTCTTGTCGTAACAGGCTTCGCGATGCTGCGCCAGTTTCGACCATCCACGCCTGGCGTATACACCTACCTTGGCCTGCGGCGCTCACCTGCCTTCGGCAGGCTGCTTTCCTAGGAAGGCCGTAGAAATGGGCGTCATCCGCTCAAAAAATAGCATTTGGTCATCAAAATCTACACCAATGGGATTCAACTTTCGGTCGGGGGTCGGAACGGGTTCTATTTTTGTCGTCAGCAGCCTCAAAAATATATGAAACGACATGAAATTTGACACAAAGTTGAAAGTACCTCAAAAGTTGTCTTTTTTCTGTCGTCATTTAAGTGTTTTTTGGCTAATATGACCGAATGGATTGAGATACAAAGCTGAATTTTGGTGTGTGGGGAGCCAAGGACATACCTAATGACCCTGCAAAATCTCAGCCAGATCGGCCGAGCCGTTCAGGAGGAGTAGTGCCCACACACACACAGACAGACAGACAGACAGACAAAACTTTTCAACCCCACTGGAGTAACGGGCTTCGCTATCGCTCAGCCATTTATGAGTGAAATTGTTATTGAAACTAAATGGAATTATTGTATTAATGGTTGCCAATGATGATGCATGACTCCCAGTGACATCACCAACTCCTAACTAACTTCGCTCAGTTGAGCGAGTGAACTGAAGTGAACTAATACAAGTCCTATACACTACACTGCTAAACCAATGTTCAGATAAGATAATGTGCAATAAAATGATACTCTTTCCTTTCAATCTATCTTCCCCTAAATGAGATTAACATGCTTAATAAATTTTTTAAGTTCTGGAGGTGAAAACAAAGTTTAAACCTTTTCCGAGTCCAGAGGCGGAGTTAGCAAACTTTAAATATTGAAGCAACTATTTACTCCACCACTAAAACAAGATTATGCTGAACTTAATAATGCAAAATGATAAGGAAAAGATGGAGCAGAGCTTCACCTTAGTGTCAGTTAATTTAAAAAATTAGATTCGGTTAATTGAGCGACTATGCGGTGAAAGTTAATGAGAGCAACACACCAAAATTAATACAATTGAATTAGATGAATGAGAACCATGTCAGCTTAATGATGAAAACACCAAACAATTTTTTAAAAAATACCGGACATTTTGGTAACTGAAAGCTGACTTGCAAAAAAATATTTCATAATTTAAAAAAACTGAGGGAGGTGGAGGGGGGCCACTCCTCCTGATGCACGGGTCAGCGGGCGAACAAGGTGGGGCCTGGACCCTACGGGCTGCTGGGCGAGGGAGCTGGGGGCGTGGGAGCTGGGGGCGGGGAGGGTGGGGGCGGGCAGTGGGGACGTGGAGTCCTCGCAGCCAGCTGAGGGTTGAAGCATGGGCGGAGGGTATGAGGCAACGGCTCCAGGCGTAGAAAAGCAGACTGAAAAGAAGAATAAGTTGGTTAGGTGATGTTCTTTAGTTAAAACAGAAATGGAAAGTTTGTTGCGAACTTACCACTCGAGCGACTTCTGCAGCGGGGGCTGCGGGTCTCACCGCGGCAGGGGCCACGGGGGCTGCGGGTCTCACCGGGGCGGGGGCCCCCTCGGAGGGCCCCAGTCGAGCCATGATGGTCTGAAACAGAAAAAAAACAAGAAGTAAAGAAAAAGAGTTTAAAGGAATGGTGCGAAATATCAATGAATTGATATTAAATAAATGACTCGTTCTTTACACATTTGTTTTGTGAATAAAGGATGTCTAGTGGTTAACACAAGTGGCCAGGTAGTTGAATAATTGTTAAGCTCGAAATGAAAGTACGTTCAACATCTACCGCCATTACAGTAGTTCGTTTGAAATCCGCGTGGTGGCGCCACGGGTCGCCGATGTTAGCGGCAGGCCGTGCAAAGGAAGGTTGAAAAACTGCAGATATTTTAAATGTTTGTTTGCTAAGAGAGATAATCCTCAAATGAAAAATGTTAAACAAAGCACAGGGAAGTGGATTTGTGCTATGGCACATGCAAATTCGATATGAATCACGAAACAACGAAGTGTTATAACCTCTCATTACTAGACACCAGCCAGTTTTAATAAACATTTTCAATCTTCATTTGCTCAAAATCTTTCATAATGAAATGAAAAATACTTCATTTACGCCTTAAAGATGAGGCTTTGATCTTTCAAATGAGTACATTACATATGGTTTTCCTTGTGTGCATAGAGAGTTGAATCATGTAGCTAACAAAAACTGATTTTGAGCACAATACTCGTTCTCTTCACATTAACCTAAATTTTGAAATTAGGGTGTAAAGAACGAGTAAAAAATTAAGTACAATGCTACTATAACCAAATTTTGACTAATGGAACGAACTTCCCGCAAATGAGAAGCGGTTACCGGCATGTCATGGGGTGGCGAAGGGGGTGGCGATGAGCTGGCGCTCTCCTCTGAGCCCTCAGACCAGAGCTCGGACTTTTGGCGAAACCGACTGGCTGGACTGACTGGGACCAGTCGGTCGCCGACTGGCCGGGCTGACAATGGTGTGCGAGTGAGAGCGATGCGCGTCGAGTCGCCTGTGCCGAAGGCGCTGCTCGGGGCTCGGCTCGGCTCGGGTCTGGCGCCGAAGCCGTCCCAGTCACTTTTGACTGACCGCAGCCAAAGCCTGACCGACCGTCTCTGCCGAGCGCCGGGTGGCTGGCGGCGGCGGCTGTGTGGCGTGGCGTGGCGTGGCGGCAGACCGGGCTAGGCTGGCCGGTGGCCGGCCGGCCGGCCGACGCCGTCGTCTGCTGCATGCTTTACTTTGATGCAGACGATGCTTCTGTCCCCTCCCTCCCTCCCTACCACACACACACTTTGCCGCAATCTGTTGACTGTTGCGGCCTGGCACGGCACGCCACAGATCAGAAGAGGCAGGCCGGCTGGGCTGCGCCTCGTCGTTGATTTCATTGTTGGCGTTGTTGTGTATGATTTTGAAATGAATGCCGAAGAGAACGTGGACGAGGTGCAGCAAGTTCAAGTGGTGGATGTGCCACCAGGCGAACCAACACAAGCAAGGCCAGGTATATGTCAGTGCAATGGCAGTAATACATATAGAGGATTTCATGAACTGAGTGGTTGTGTGGGATTACTTTGAAATATGTGAACGAAACCAGACCGGGGCAGAGAACCGTATGGTATGCACCGCCGAGGAGCGTGGGCGTGGGCAGCGTTCAAAGAGGGAAGCGCGAGTGCGCCCGTCGCGTGCGCGCCGTGCTCCGCGGGTCAGGGGTGGGGGTGGGGGCGGGCGGCGCACGGCGGCGGTCGCACACCGTGGCGCGTTCACGTGCAGTGCAGAGCAGGTGGAACCGGCCTGACCCTGCCTGATTCGGTGTGGGACGGAAGGTCTCTCTCTCGCACACATAGGGCGGGGCGCACCGGAGAGAGAGAGAGAGAAAGACCGAGGGCCGCATTGTGTGTGTAGAAATACTCTGTGCTGTGCAGGGGTCACGGTCACGACGGCGACAGCACGGGCGGGGCGTTCGCGACGCGTCGCGGTGGGCCGCGGCGCGGCACGGGGCGCGACGCGAAGCGAAGGCGAGTGGTCGTCACGTCACTCGTCACGCACTCGCGGGTGTGCGCGGACGGCGACGGCACGGGCGGGGCGCGGGGCGTTCGCGACCCGTCGCGGTGGGCCGCGGCACGGGGCGCGACGCGAAGCGAAGGCGAGTGGTCGTCACGTCACTCGTCACGCACTCGCGGGTGTGCGCGGACGGCGACGGCACGGGCGGGGCGCGGGGCGTTCGCGACCCGTCGCGGTGGGCCGCGGCACGGGGCGCGACGCGAAGCGAAGGCGAGTGGTCGTCACGTCACTCGTCACGCACTCGCGGGTGTGCGCGGACGGCGACGGCACGGGCGGGGCGCGGGGCGTTCGCGACCCGTCGCGGTGGGCCGCGGCACGGGGCGCGACGCGAAGCGAAGGCGAGTGGTCGTCACGTCACTCGTCACGCACTCGCGGGTGTGCGCGGACGGCGACGGCACGGGCGGGGCGCGGGGCGTTCGCGACCCGTCGCGGTGGGCCGCGGCACGGGGCGCGACGCGAAGCGAAGGCGAGTGGTCGTCACGTCACTCGTCACGCACTCGCGGGTGTGCGCGGACGGCGACGGCACGGGCGGGGCGCGGGGCGTTCGCGACGCGTCGCGGTGGGCCGCGGCACGGGGCGCGACGCGAAGCGAAGGCGAGTGGTCGTCACGTCACTCGTCACGCACTCGCGGGTGTGCGCGGACGGCGACGGCACGGGCGGGGCGCGGGGCGCGGGGCGTTCGCGACGCGTCGCGGTGGGCCGCGGCGCGGCACGGGGCGCGACGCTAGGGCCGGCGTAGAATATGGACGGGGGCTGGTTTTTTCCACTGGCTGCTCACGTTTTAATAGTTCAGTCCCACCAACAACTCACTTTGTGGGATACTCTATTAGGTGCGAGGTGTGAATCATTCATCGTTAACGTTTTTTCACCTTTTTGGCCTTTTAAACGAAATAAAATACCGAAACCTATTTAAATTTGGTTATTTTCGCCCTTTTTAAAATTTTTGAGTACACTGAGTAAGGGCTAATGAGAACACGTAAGTGTGTATTCCAGTGATTCACCCCTCGATTAGGTTGCATATCCATCTATAATTTTATGCGATTTTCGGACGCTTTATATCGAATCCTATTTTGTGCAGGAGAAAACGCGAAGGAAAAAAGGGCTGCAGCTGATGCTAGGAAAATTGACTGTGCTGCGAAGCTTAAGTCTGGCGAATATGTCAACACGCGCGTCAGTGGCAGCAGCAGCAAGGCTTGGGAAATCTTTGCGAGAGTTAAAGTGGCTGCAACAGGCAAAGACACCGAGTTTGTACAGTGCCTGAATGCAGAGTGTGGCCTCATTAAAATTTGCAGCCCTAACTCTGGCAGCCGGAAATCCCTTGCAGAGCATGTCTGCAAACCTAGGCCAGCGCCACCGAAACCAGGCTTACCAAGAAATGTAAAGAGCAACCTAGCTGAACTGCTCGCTGAGCTTACTGGTGAAACTTTTGCCCCTTTCAATCTTTGTGAATCTGATGCTTTCCAAAAAATTGTTAGCTACTGCCTTGAAGTCGGCCATGTGCACGGGGCGGATGTTAATGTAGAAGAAATAATTCCCAGCTCAAAAACCGTTGCAGAAAAAGTGCAAGCAAAGGCTGATAAGGCTAGGGAGGACCTTCTGCAGGAGGCCAAGCCGGCAATTGAGAACGGCCGTGCATCTGGTACTGTTGATGGGTGGACAGACAGCCAGCGCCATAGGAAATATCTTGCTCATACGGTTGCATACATTGATGAAGAGTGGCGGTTGCAGGACCACATATTGAGTCTGCCGCACTGCAATGCGGAATCAGTGACGTCTGAAGTAATATCAGACACCCTAAATATGTCCAAGGTCCAGCTTGACATTAATCCACAATCCAAGGTACATTACACCACTGATGATGGTGCTGACATTGTATGTGCAGTGCGACTTATGGAACAGGAGCGCTCCTACTGTATGGATCACTGCAGCAACCTGATAGTCAAAAAGGCCATGGAAGCTAAACTCACCACAATAGACTTGTACGGGGTACTTGGAGGTCCAGTTGTGGACAAAGTTGCGGAGGCCGTCCGCATTGTCCTAAGATGTAACCAGAAGGAAGCATATCCTCTCAAGTCCAAACTCAAGCGCGGCCCAGTTAGCCGCTCTGGACAAAGGGTTTACAAGTCGTCTATCCCAATGTTGAAGGCTGCAAAGTTACATTTCCCAAAGGTAAGGTTAACATAGGCCTGGGCCCGTTGTCCGATCTGAAAGCGGCCCGGAATGGCAGCAGTTTTGTCTCACAAGACGGCGCAGTGTTGCGGGTTTGCCTAGCGCGCGTGTCTATCTTTTAATATACGCCTATACCTCAACAAGGTCATTTGTTGTACTGCGCAGATAGGCATACCAGCAACACTGCATCGTCTAACTATTGGTACTGTGGTTTTAAATCTAGTTCGTGTTTAAACTTCTCACTGACAACTTTTTGTTTCGCTCCTAACAGATCACAAACGTTCTGGCTCACCTGGGCAAAGAATCCGTACTGACAGGCGTTTCAGCAAAGGACATTGATGACATTATTGGTGTCGTTACCCCAATTGAAGCCCTTGCCAACACCAAAGGGGCCAAGAATGTGTTTGTGGCCTGTCACGAGGGAAAGCTGAAGGAGTTGACCACCATTAAGACTGAAGACTCTCCCCTCAAAGTAGCTGTGAAGGGTCACATCTCAGAGCAGTTAGGCATCATGCCACTACTGGTATTAATTCAGAAGCTTAAGGGAGTGGTAAAGTATATGAAATCCAGTGGCCTCAACGAACAGCTTCAAGGAGGTACCTTAAAGCAAGAGGTTGACACACGCTGGATGTCTGTCCTTCACATGATAAACTCCTTCTTTCCGCCCGCAAAATCACCCCTTCCTGTTCACTGCAAAATTGATCAGGTACGTAGTTGCTGACATTAGCTAAGTTCGAGGAGCAAACAACTTCGTCAAAATTTGTACACCGTTATTTCAAATTCATGTTATTTCACGTTATTTAATTGTTATTTCAACGTTATCTCACTGGTATTTCAACGTCATTTCACGTTATTTCGCTTTACTTCACCGTTATTTCAACGCTATTTCAAGGAAAATATACACTCAAATTCAAATTGTTTGCCCCTCGGCTAGGTTTTACTTCAAGCATAGGTTCATCCCTTTGACTTTATTGCTATTTTATTCTGATCACTCTTAACTTCCACCCAGATCAATGGTCTCCTGCGTGACCGCGGCAGGGAAAGCCAGGTCATAAGTGATGAAGATATCGTAATAATGGAGTCCATTATTCCGATTCTGAGTTCATTTGAGAAAGCTATTAAGGAGTTCGAGGGAGAGTACGTGCCAACGATTCAACATGTTGTGCCTCAGTTTTTCCTGCTAAAAGAAATCCTTCAGCCAAAGGTCAATGACATTGAATTGGTTAAGAAATTCAAGGCGTTGTTGTTAAAGCAGTTGGAGGCCAAGTACAAGACCAACATAACTATGCGCCACAAAATTGGCATGCTGCTGTGGCCCCAATTTAAAACGCTTTCAAAGCTTTCTGAAGAAGAAAAGAAAGAGGTGAGTAGAGTACAAATCTCTATTGCTACCTTTTTTTGTTTTAAAAGGTGGGGTACAGGGCAGTCAGTTACGCGTTGACAGGAGTGCTGTGTCAAAGAACTCTACATCTTTCAGGTGCATGAGGCTGTGCGTTCCATTATGGAGGAACAAAAGAATGCTAATTCCGAAGGAACTCCTGCAGCTGAGGATGAGGAGGTGGGAGCGGAGCCGCCAGACAAGCGAAGACGTGTGTCTACAAGCTCATCTGACGATGATTACGCTCTACTTCAAGATTCAGTCCCAGAAGTGGAGCACGACGATGAACTTGATCGGTATTTGAAGCTCCATCCCTCGCACTGCAAAGCTAAGTCCAAGGAACTTCTGAACTGGTGGAAAACCAAGGTTTGTGTACTAAGATAAAGTGAAACACACGCTTTATACATTACGGAGTATTTTAAGTATGCATACATAATGAAAACTTATTTACTTTGTTATACTAAGAAATAGTTCGTAGATTACGAACTATTTTCTTTGTAAGCTTACGTATGCTCAAAATACTTTGTCGTATCAGGCTACTTTACTTCACAAGGCTTAAAAAGTTTGTAAAGGTTTTCAGAGCGCAAATTATCAATTTCATTCTTACAGGCCAAGGACTTTCCTCTGTTAAGCGTAGTAGCCAAGATCATCCTTGCTACTCCAGCTTCCAGTGCTTCTGCAGAGCGGAAGTTCAGTGCGGCAGGTCTCCTAATTACCAGCCGCAAAAATGCGTTGCTTCCACAAACAATCGAAGATCTGGTTGTTTATCATGATTATCTCATAAAGAAGAAAAAGGAGAAGAATAATTTGCTCTAGTTTGAGTTTGTTAATAGGGATTCCCTTGGATGAATTTATTTTCGTTTTTTTTAAAGTTTGCTAGTTTATTCTTCATGTTATTTTAGTTATTTCTTCAGTGATATGTAATTAATTACATATGTGATATTATTATAAAGACCACAAATATATAAGATGTATATTATGTCGAACGGGACATTGAAAACAGTTTTGTTTGCTTCTTATCATAGACCTGAAGAACCCTCCCCCCTTTTTTTAACTCGGCGCCACCCAGACTTTTTCCACCCTTTCCCCTGGCGTGTGCCAGCCAGCCACGGCCAATGGTTTTAATGAACACTAAACTGAGCACCTAACCTAGACCCACCAAGCCTGCACCGTGCAGTGCAGCTCAGCTACAACGTAACGTAGATCTCGTAAAAGCGTTGTCTGCAGCAGAATAATTTCGAGAGTCGTTTTTGTCACTCGGTCTCACTCGCACCTATACGCAGTGCCCATGAGCGCGAGAGAGACAGAGCGACGAAAGCGGTTATTCCCTCGCCCCGGGCCGTCTCGGTTCCCCTGGCCAGCGCGCTCGTACTCGTCGCCCTGTCTCTCTCGCACTCATGGAGTGGGCCGTAGGGATGAGAGAGAGAGAGAGAGAGAGAGAGAGAGAGAGAGAGAGAGAGAGAGAGAGAGATGAGTGCGTCCGCGTCCGACTGCGGGAAGCAGAGTCTTCGGCAGGCGTGGCGCGGCACGCCACGCCTCGCCTAGCCGAGCCGGCCGAGCCACAGCACGGCACGGCACGCCACGGCTCCGCTCGACACAGGTGCGACACGCCACGCCACGCCACGCCTCGGCTCGGTCCACCCTGCGCCGCCGGCAGCTGCTGGCTGCTACCAGCAGTCACACCTGACTGGACCCAGCCAGTCGACGAGCGACTGGCTGGCAGTGCCACTGTCAGCCACGCTCGAGGCCTGTGACCGGGCGGCCAGTCAAATCAGCCAGTCGGTTTCGCCAAAAGTCCGGCCTCTGCCTCAGACTCTTCAGAGTCCTCCTAAAAAAGACAAATGATTTTTAAAAAAACTTGCCAGACAAATAAAACTAGATATAGTCCAGACAAGAGCACTTACGTCATACAACTGAGAAATTAAAGAGTCCGAGTCCGAGTTGGATGACGTGGGGGAGGGAGGCGGGCGCCTTGGGGCCGGTCCTTTGATTTGCCTAGTCGGCCTGGGCTCAGCCCGCCTCCAGCGGCTAAGTCCCGATTTTCGTTCGGCGTTTTACAGTTTCCGGCCACACCGTTCAAGGTATTGCAACCGGGTTACAGGAACTTCTTATTGGAGCTAGTGGCTGCAACACTGTTGAACGCTTTGTCCCGTATTTTGGCTGGAAGACCTGGGGCAGTAGTCGGCTAATTTCAGCCAAACTAAAACTTTTGGAATTTTTTGAACAGGCTGGCGTCGAGGCTGGTTCATGTCGAGTGCCCATGCAAAGTTTCAACTCGATCCGACAACGCGTGTGGGCGCAATCGAGACACATGTATCGCCGCGCGGAGGCCTCGCGGGCCTCCGGCCGGCTCCAAACGCGCCCTCCGCCGAGCCTTTAGCGGGCCCTTAAAGTCAGAACTAGACAGCTTGGTCTGGAATTAAAATTTTGGTATATTGTATGACCGATTCAACTTAAGTCCCACTCTTAGAACTTGAAAATGGTTGGCTACCAAACCACTTTATTTGTGACTCCGATTTTTGGAATTATAGCTCTTTAATGGTGTAAAAAGGGAATAAGAAGGTAAAAACATAGGAATTTTATGTAGTTTTTTTTTTAACTTCAGGAGATGTGTACAAACACATACCATAAATACATAAATAAATGTACTCTACAAATCAAAGAGTGTACATGGTACGCTCTAACTGGAGCATGACTGCAAGCACGCTCTAACTAGCGCATACATGCCATGTACACGCTAACTGAAGCAGACGTTAACTCCACAAGGGATAGGGAGTTTTCTGCATCAGGAAGCGTGTACATGGCATGTATGCACTAGTTCACTCTCATTCCAGGAACGTGACATCACGTTGAAACGAACGTGACAAAGTGTCACGTTCGTTTGAGCATTGTGTCACGTTCGTTTGAATGTGAACAAGCTGATTTTTGGCGTTTCAACGTGATGTAACGTTCCTGGAATGAGAGTGTTAGTGCATGCTTGGCAGGCATGCGCTAGCTAGAGCGTGCTTGCAGGCATGCTCCAGTTAGAGCATACTATGTACACTCTTTGATTTGTAGAGCACTAGATAACACAAGGCATGTTCCACATGTGTATTTGATGCCATTACATTTAACCGTTTTTTGTGAAAACATAACTTTAGGGCACTTAAAACAGGAGACTACTTCTTTTGCATACACTCTTTCCAAGCCTAATTTATCCATTGACACACAATCTGAGCTCATCGAAACCCTTTTACAAAACCCTTTCTTGGACAGAAAACGAAAAGCTGAATTGAGAGAAAGTTTGATCGCAACAGACAATGAAATATTTCCACGAGAAAAACAGACATTGCCATAGCGTTTCAGAAGTCTGTGACTGGCAGGTTAGCGCCGCTGGCCAAGGTAGGTGTAAACGCCAGGCGTGGATTGTCGAAACTAGCGCAACATCGCGAAGCCTGTTACGACAAGACACGGTCTGGCGTGCACCTTCCTGGTATTGTTAAGACTGTTGCTTAAATAGAAGGTAGGTGTACGCCAGACCGTGTCTCGCCGTAACAGGCTTGGCGATGGATGCTGCGCCAGTTTCGACCATCCACGCCTGGCGTCACCTACCTTGGCCTGCGGCGCTAACCTGCCTTCGGCAGGCTGCTTTCCCAGTCAGGCCGTAGAAATGGGCGTGATCCCCTCGAAAATTAGCACTTGGTTATCATAATCTACACCAATGGGATTAAACTTTTGGCCGGGGGTCCAAACGGGTTTTATTTTCGTGTTCAGCAGCCTCAGAAACATATGAAACGATACGATACTTGACCAAAAGTTGAAAGTAGCTAAAAAGTTGTCTTTTTTCTGCCGTTTTAGAAGTGTTTTTTTTTGCTAATATGACCGAATGGATTGAGATAGAAAGCTGAGTTTTATTGTGTGGCGAGCCAAGGACATATCAAATGACCCTGCAAAATCTCAGCCAGATCGGCTGAGCCGTTCAGGAGAAGTCGTGCACACACACACGCAGACAGACAGACAAAACTTTTCAACCCTACTGGAGTAACGGGCTTCGCTATCGCTCAGCCAATGATGATTAACATTTATTGCTTTTGGGTTGGTTACTTGCGTTCATTTACTTGCGCAAGAAAATAATGTAACGTGGAGTCAGAGAGACGATAATAGTGCATTTATTCTAGGTGTTCCCAGATGGTTGTACTGAATTTAAGGACTTGTAATAACCCTGGCATCCTTTACCGATTTCTTGGCATGACTCAAGAAGTCGGAGGGCGTCTCACATCGAACTTCAACTCAAAGAAGAGTTACTATGAAATTTGCGAAGTATGCAACGAATGAAAAGGAAGTTAAAAGTTACTGTACACTTAAAAAGCAAAGGATTTTACTAATGACAATTGAAATTCGATGTCCTATTCACCCACACGGGATCAGAGAGGAAGGAGAGCAGCAAAACAGCGGCGCGCCACGTGAACCTTAAAAGAAGCAACATTAGTAATAGCAGTGAAGTTACGATTAAAATCAACAGGAGAGAGGGAACATATCTGATTATGACACTTCGTATTGTTTGATAATCAACTTTAAACAAATCAGCAGAAATTTAATCAAAAAATGGGAAGAAGTGAAAATAAAAAAGCCTCTGGCATATTGATTAGTTTTGATTCAAAATACTGTTCTAATATTATGCAGAAGAAGGTAATTAACTATGTACACTGTAAGTTGGAAGTCCAAGATTAGGTGAACTTACGCGAACCAAAAACACTTTCATTTAGCAATGATACATTAACATATTTTAAATCAAGGAGATGACAAGAACCAATTAAATCAATCGACCACCTGTACACTGCTTAAGTAAGTGAAATGCAGTCAAAGAAACATACTTCATTGAAAAAATTGTTCAATCACGAAATTAACACCTATATTTACACACGGGAGAGGACTGGAGAGAGAGACGGAGAATGCAGAGAGGAACACGTTGAGGCCTTGGCGATGATACGACGTAAATCTTGCGTTGCGATGTTGTTGACGGTGCGCGAGGTGTCCATGATCCGAGACGTGCACCCGAAGGCCTGAACGTTCGGACATGACAGCTGGATGACGGAAGTTAAAGACGCGAGAGGTTTTAAGGCGGGACCCCGGTGGCCGTTCACCCGCGACGGCCAAAGGAACTTAAAAAGTGTATTGACGGGAGTCTCCTTTTGCGAATACTCCTTGCCATTTTCGTCCTGGTAATGTAGCACTTTCCCCAGAGATGGCACCACAGTCAGGTACTTCCAAAAAATAAAAGGGTCCTAGTTCTGGGTGGAAAGTCCTATACCTGCCGTGCATTTTTGGCAGTGACGGACAGCGCGGTGCGTTTTGACAGTGTCGATGGCCAGACAGAGCGGCGCGGCCGATGCGGCCCGGGCCTCGCCGTGCGCTCCAGACAGATGTCATTGTCCATCTCTGTCTCACCCGTGCAGTGCAAGCGAGACGGCCGAGGCGGGCACTGGAGGGGGAAGCAGTGGCCGAAGAGCGAGGCACGCGGCTGGCCCTGGAGTCCCACGCGCTCCAGTTTCCAAATTTAAAATTTGAATGAGACTTCTAAGTTGTGGCGGCTGGGTACCAACAGTTTCCTTTTTCTTTCGCGATCATTTTGACACCAGTCGAACAACGGATTGTAATCGGAGATAAAATTTCTCCTACGACCTTCAGACTCTCCCATCGGGCATCGTGGATGAAACGTATGACTCCTTTCCCCTTACGCCACCCTTTTCGCCAAATTCTGGCCAGCGCGACGCGTTCAAGTCGTGAGGAGCTCGATGGGGGACTGGCTGGATCAGAGTCCGAGGCGGCCCGGCGGCCTGCCGGGCGCGCTCCGGGTCCTCGTCTGCAGCTCCGGCTTAGCGCGGGAGGAGCGGGGGAGGGGGAAGGCGGCGAAGACAATGCCCAGCTGCAGGTCAGCTGTCAGTCAAAAATGTGTCGCGCCGCACCGCCTGGCCTGCACACTAGGGTGGGCCGTGAAACACGATTTTTCGATATCGCAAACGTAATAGCGCGCCAAAGTTACTTCATGGCAATACAAACTCAACGCGATCTGGGCCAAGTCTGTAACTTAAAGCTTGACCCTCGCGCATCGACGTTGAAAATTCGAAAATTCGACTTTTACGGATTTTTCTAAAAACAGCCATAGAAACTGAACCAGATGTCCAAATGATGTTTCCGAGACGGAAATGGAAACGTCTGATCATGCTTTATCAGTGTAAGACCACCGGGGCCCTCTGCGAGCAGTAGGGGGCCGATGCACGGCAAAAACTTTGTCGTGTTTTACAAGGACCGGTCACCTCAGCTAAGGGTCTTGGCCCCTGGTCCTTAGGTAAACCCGTCTGGCTAAGGTAGCTTCTCAGCCAAGCGTTTGTTTACATGTCCGCCATGTTGAGCCC